GACTACCCCTGCCCTATGAGAAGCAGAATATGCAGCTAGGTATATTTAGCCTGGGGAAGAGAAGGTTAAGAGGGGACATGATAGCCATCTTTAAATATTTGAAGGGATGTCATGTTGAGGATGGAGCAAGCTTGATTTCTGCTGCTCCGGAGACTAGGACATGGAGAAATGGATTCAGACTAAAGGAAAAGAGATTCCAACTAAACATAACTTCTTGATGATAAGAGCTGTTTGACAGTGTAATGAATTGCTTTGGAGTGTGGAGAAATCTCCTCCTCCTTCTTCTTCTTTTTTTAAGAGGCTGGACAGCTATCTGTCAGAATTGCATTTATAGTATATTCCTCCATGAGAGAATGAGATTGGACTGTATGGTCCTGGTGGCTGCTTTCGATTCTATGATTCTATGATTTCACTGTGGTCATCATGAGGTTTTGTACCTGCTACTTGTCACCACAATTTGATATTAAGAGGTAAACTGTTTGTAGACATTGAGGTACTACCTAGCTTTGTTAGTTAAGCTTCCATGAATTGGTCTAGTTCCCTTTTTAAATGCTATCCTGCAAGGTAACCACATTTTAAAAAGGATACTAGACCATTTCATGAAACTCTTAGCCATCACATTGAAAGAGCATATGAATGTCCAGAATGTCAGATTTTAATGCTGTCTTGTAAGATAACTGAGAACCAGCATGGTTTTGATGGTTTGAGCTTTGGACAATGACTCTGAAGACCAGCATTCAATACCCCACTTGGATATGAAAATCCTCTGGGTGACCTTGGGTGAGTCACAAATGTTCAGCACCAGAAATCACAACAATAGCCTTAGGGTTGCCGTAAGTCAGAAATGACTTGAAGGCATACAACAAAAACAAGATTACCACTGTAGAATGTTAATCAATATTCACTGGCAACAATAGAAGCTGAGTAATTATATTGACATATCTCAAAGCCAGCTTTGTACTTCTTTATTGATTATACAAAAAGTGCATTATTCAGGTGTAACACAATATGGTGGGTCATGTAATAGCAAGTTACACATTGAGAATGTGGTTTGCACACAAGAAAGGGAGCTATCCTATTCATTCATTCATTCATTCATTCTATCCTGCCTCTCCACTAAATAGTGCACTCAGTGTGGAAATCAATAATAGCTTACAAATGAAAACAAAGTCAAAACTAAACCAAATAAATAATTTAGTTAAATGCATAAACACTTCAAAGAAATAACCAGAAACAATCCAATACAAAAGCAACAAAACTTTCCACTGGGAGAGGACATGTGGTTTGTATCCAAGTGGAGTGGTGAATCCATTCTGAGCTATCCAAGGTACTAACGTTCTTTTCAGGACAGCTTTCAGTTCCGTGGACAGTACGGTCAAGGTCTGGAATAAAAGAGGATGTCAAAGCCAGCGTTCATAGAATTCTAGAATCCTAGAGTTGGAAGAGATTTCAAGGGCCATCCAGTCCAACTCCCTGCCATGCAGGAATGCACAAGCAAAGCACCAACAGATGGCCATTGAACCTCTGTTTAAAAACCTCCAAAGAAGGAGACTCCACCACTCAACAAGGCAGTATGTTCCACTGTCAAACAGCTCTTACCATCAGGACGTTCTTCCAAATATTTAGGTGGAATCTCTTATATTGTAATGTGAATCCATTGCTCCGGGTTCTGTTCTCTGGAGCAACAGAAGACAAGCTTGCTCTTTCTTCAATACAACATCTCTTCAAATATTTAAATATGTTTATCATGTCGCCTCTTATCCTTCTCTTCCCCAGGCTCAACATACTCACCTCTCTAAGTCACTCTTCAGAGAGCTTGGCTTCCAGACTTTTCACCATTTTGGTCACGCTCCTCTGGACACATTCCAGCTTATCAATCTCTCTCTTGAATTGTGATGCCCAGAACTGTACACAATATTCCAGGTGAGGCTTGACCAAAGCAGATTAGAGTGACACTATTGCTTCCCTTGATCTAGACACTAAGGCTGCATCCACACTGCAGAAATAATTTGGTTTGACATCAATTTAATTGCCATGTCTCAAAACTATGGAATTCTAGGGATGGTAGTTGATTGTGGCACCAGAACACCAGGAATCATAGTTTTGTGAGACATATAGTCTTCTCTATCAGAGAGCTTTGGTACTGCAATGAACTACCATTTTCAGAATTCCATAGCATTGAGCCCTTGAAGTTAAAGTGGTGTCAAACCACATTATTTCTGCAATGTGGATGCAGCCTATATTCCTACTGAATACAGTAATCTTGTGCCCCAAATGTAGATGTCCAAGAAATGAATGAGAAACACCCTACTCCAAGTGATAGACTCACTTAAAATGAGAAGCTCCAGGTCACTAGCTTCTCTTTTAAGCAATTTTATTAGCAAGGTTGAATTCTACATTGATGCATCAAACCTTTGCCTTTGCTAAATGTTTGCTATGTTTACTCTCTCTCTCTCTCACTCTCACTCTCTCAAGAAAGCTCCATTGTGCTTTTTTCAGAGTTTTCATCCAGGAGTCCTACCTGGGGTCTTTTGCACTAACCACTTATGATTAGCTTTAACAGCCATGGCAACATTGTCAATTGTGCAATCCTGGGATTTGCAGTTTAGGGAGGGGAATGTAGAATTTTTGGCAAGAGAGCTTTAGTACTTCACCATACTCCAACCCTCAAAATTCTATAAAGTGCAGCCATGACATTTAGTGGAATCATAGCACTATAATTGTGTAGTATGAAAGAGCCCCTGAAAATGCCAGAGAATGAACCTAGGCTATTCTGCATATAAAACATGTGATTTATCACTGAATTATATAAAGATTCATCTCTACAATCATTTAGAGATACAAGCCTTTTGCTCCTGCTATTATCTTTGACTTTTCTTTAGAAAGGCACAACCTTCCAGTGGAATTATGAAGAGAGAGGGAATCTATGATTTTGTGAATCTAAGGCTCTTTGATTCCTTATCACAGTCCCATTTTCAGAATTGCACTGCATCATGGCCTGTGCAGTCTATAGTTGATGCAATCATGGCCAGTTAGGACTGAGTAGTCTTCAATCCAAGGTGCAGCAGCTTCAAATTTAAAAGGGGAAAACACAGCCAAATTTAAATGGCAAAAAGAGGAGGGGAACCACAGGTGATAATATGTGTGAGCCCAGTGTGTGTATATTTGAATAACTAATTTTCCTTGCAATCAACCTGACCTTTTTCCAATTGCTGTTTTTCCACTTGACTGTTGGATATTTAAATACTCATACACCATTCAGCCTTGATGCATTGCCATTTAAATTATGGTAATTCCAGAGCAGGAAAAGTTACTTTTAAAAAGAACTTAGTAGTTCCCCTTCCCCAAAGTTAGGGCCTAAGCATACTGGCGGCACAGGGCCGCCCTGGGAAGGTGCGCCGTGGGACCTCAATCCCTATGCCTTGATCCTGTGGCACACCTTCTCTGCCCCTGAAAGGAGCGCTAAAATAAGCTTGCGGCACACTTTTGCTGACTTTTCCACTGCAGCGTGTCCGGACACTGTGGCGGGAGGCTATCCTCGGAGCGCCAGTCGTGCAGAGGGCCAGCGGCTCCGAGGACGACCTTGGGAGGAGGAAGGGGTGCCGAGCATGCAGCTGCCCCTCCCCTTCCTTGCCCTGAGGACGGCTTTTTAATCTGTCTGCCGAGGCCCTTAGTTACTTTAATTGTTGAAAGTTGAACAATAACTCTTTACTTTCCTCTTTCTATAAAGAGACTAATTTATAGTTACCTTTTTAGTTACTTTAACATTCATCTGAATCACAAATGTTAGGAGGAACTTCCTGACAGTAAGGGCTGTTCGACAGTGGAACACGCTCCCTCGGAGAGTATTGGAGTCTTCTTCCTTGGAGGTCTTTAAGCAGCGGCTGGATGGCCATCTGTCGGGGATGCTTTGATTGGGAGTTCCTGCATGGCAGGGGGTTGGACTGGATGGCCCTTGTGGTCTCTTCCAACTCTATGATTCTATGAAATATTTCATAACAAAACTAGCTGATTTGAATGCTATAAACCACAGGCCTATATTATGTAATTTATTCTCCTCCAGTCCTTGCTCTTGACATCTTGTTGTGCTCAACACTCACAACATAAATACATGAGCCATGTGATAATTCTCACCTGAAGCCACATCCCATAACTATCAAACTAATTAAATGTTATAGTGACACCACAAAAAAGATACCATTTCTAAATACATGTCCTGGACTACAGCCAGCCTCAGTTCCCACAGCTGCTAGGGA